ATTGTTTATCCAGGTCCATGATGGACATTTGAACTGTTTCCATGGTTAGCTCTTGTGAACAGCACTGGATATAGCGTATGTGTAGGTGTCCTTGTTTGAGTGCCGTTTTAATTCTTTTGAATTTATGCTTAAGATTGGAATTGAGGAGGTCATATGATAATTATGTGCTTAACTTTTTAAGGAACTACCAAATTGTTTCCCACGATGCCTGAATCATTTTGCATCCCACCAGCAGCGTCGGAGGGTTCAAATTTCTCCATATCTTCACCGGACACTTACTTTCCACCATAATCATTACTAATGAAGCCATCCCGGCAAGCACAAAATGGTTTCTCATTGTTCCCACTTCGTGTTGGACAACTTTTTTGTGTGTTTATTAGCATTTGTATATCTTCTTCAGAGAAACATCTATTCAAGTCCTTTGTCCATTTTTTAAATAAGGTTGTTGTTTTAGTTAATGCATTTAAGAGTACTGTATTAAGCCCCTATCAGATATCTGCTTTGCAAATATTTACCCATTATTCTGTATGTTGTTTGTTCACTTTTTTGATAACATCTTTTGATATGAGTAAGTGTTTGATTTTGACGAGATACAATATATCTATTTTTTGTTGCTTTTACTTTGGGTGTCATTTCTAAGAATCTGCTGTTAAATCCAACACCATGAAAATTTACCCTTATGTATTCTCCTAGGAATAGTGTGGTTTTAGCTCTCAAATTAAGGTCATTGGTTTTTGAGTTAACTTTTTTGTTTGATAAGATGTATGAGTCTAACTATACTTTTTTTTCATCTATGGATTTCCAGTTGTCCTAGCACAATTTGTTAAAGAGATCATCGTCTCCTCATCAAATGGCCTTGGCCATTGATGTGTGGGGTTTTTTGTTTTTGTTTTTGTTTCTGTTTTTCCTGGACTCTCAACTCTATTACACTGGTCTGTATAATTTATCTTTGCACCAGAACCATGCTTTTGATTTCTGTAGTGTTGTATTAAGTTTTGAAATTGGGAAGTCTGAGGTCTCTCTATTCTTCATCAAGATTGTTTTGGCAATTCAATTGGAATTCCAATTGAGGATTGCCTTTTCCATTTCTGCAAAAAAGTCACTAAAATTTTGATAAGGAATGTGTTGAAATTTTAGATTGCTTGGGATAGTGTTAACATATTAACAATGATAAGTCTTCCAATGCATGAATGTGGGATATTTTTCTCTCTTTATTTTTTGTTTTCTTTAATTTCTTTCAGCAATGTTTTGTAGTTTCCAATGTACAAATACTTCACCTTCTAAATTAAATTTACCCCTAGATATTTTATTTATTTATTTTGGATTCTACTATAAATGGGATTACTTTCTTAATTTTATTTTCAGATTATTTATTGCTGGCTTATAGAAATAAGACTAATTTTTGTGCTGATCAAGTAAGCTACTGAATTTTCTCCTGAAGCTTTTTAAAAATGTACTATATGAGGATTTCTATATAGATTCATGTAATCTCATAATAGAGATAGTTTTACCTCTTCCTTTCCAATTTGGATGCATTTAATTTATGTTTCTTGCCTAATTGCTCAGGAAAGACCTTCTTATACAGTGTTCAATAGCAAAGCTGAAAATGGGATTTTTTGTTGATATTTTCAAAAAGATCAACTTCTAGTTTCTTTGACTTTCTCCACTGTCTTTCAATTTTCTGTCATTGAATTTCAGTTTGATCTTTATTTCCTTTCCTTTCTTTAACTTACATTTAATTAATTCAGTGTTTTCAAGTGTCTTAGTGTGGAAGCTGAGCTAATTGACTTGAGATCTTGATCTTTTCTACTATAGGCATTTAGTGCAATAAAATGTCTCCTAAATACTTTTTAGTGGCCTCCAAAAAAATCTGACTTATTCAGCTTCAATTTTCATCCAATACAAAAAGTGTCTTCTTTGATCCTGGAGTTATTTATTTCAGGAAATTTTATGGTGGAAATTTTCTTTTATGGTGGAATGAGATGGACATCATTAACCTAAGTACATGTATAAAGACAGGAATGGTGTGAATATACTTTGTATATAGCCATAGATATGAAAAATTGTACTCTATATGTGTATATGAATTATAATGCATTCTGCTGGCATATAAAACAAATTAGAATAAAAAATAAATTAAATAAAAATTTTTTATTGATTTATAATTTGATTGGAAATTATACTCTGGGAACACAATTTTATAACTCGAATGTTTTTAAATTTACTGAGACTTGTTTTACAACTCAGATTGAGTCTATCTCGGTAAATATTGCCAGTACCCCTGAGAAGAATGTGTATTCTGTTGTTGTTGAGTGAAATGTTCTGTATTGTATAAATATCACTCAGGATAAGTTGGCTGATAATGTTGTTCAAGTCTACCATATCCTTGCTCAGTTTTTATTTATTTGTCTTCTCAGTTATAATGAGAGGAGTATTTAAGTCTCTCAGTATATTGTAAACATATCTATTTCTCCTTGTAGTTTTATTAGGTTTTGCTTCAGGTATTTTGAAGCTCTGTTATTAGGTGCATATATGTTTAGGATTATTATGTTCTATTAGGATTAATTGAACCCATTATTATTATGAAATTACCTTCTTTATCCCTGGTAGTATTCTTTGTTTTGAAATCTACACTGATATTAATACAACCATTGCAAATTTTGGCTGTGTTAGCATAGTGTATCTTTTTCTATGACGCTCCTGCATCAGCCTCCCAAGTATTTGGGATTACAAGTGTGCACTGCCCACTCAGCTTTGTATTGATATTTGTTTTCTATTTGTATTTTTTTCCCCTTTGTTTTCTCCTTTTGTCCTTTCTGCCTTCTTTTGGATTAGCTGAGAATTTCAATAATTCTGTTTTATCTTCCTTATTGGCTTATTAGTTATCATTATGTGATTTATTATTTTAGTGATCACTTTAGGGCTTATATACATTTTTAACATATTATAATCTAACTTTAAGTGATTTTATACCAATTCAACAATAATACAAGAACTTTACAAAAGTGCATTTCCATTTTTCCCTCCTGGACTTTATGCTGCTATTGGAATGCATTTTATTTATATATCTATTATAATGTGCACAATCATTGTTAGTTTTGTTTAATAGTCAATCTTTTTTTTTTTTTTGTAGTGCTAGGGATTGAACCCAGGACCTTGTGCATATGAGGCTAGCACTCTACCAACTGAGCTCTATCCCCAGCCCCTCAATGGGTTTTTTAATGTGTTAAATAATAAGACCAAAGCTCACATATTTACCTTTGTAGGTACCATTTCAGTATTCTTCATTCCTTTTATAAATTCAGATTTCCATCTGGAAGATTTCCTTCTGCCTGAATGACTTCCTTTAACATTTTTATAGTGCAACCCTCCTGGTGATGAATTCTTTCAGCACTGCATATATGAAAATGTCTTAAAATTTTTTAAAAGATATTTTTAAAAATTTTAAGACATTTTTTAAAAGATATTTTTGCTGCATAGAGAATTCTGGATGACAGTGTTTCTTTCATTACTATAAGGACATTGTTCTATTTTTCTTGTTTGCATTGTTTCTGACTAGAAATCAGTATCATTGTTCCTAATCTTTGTTCTGTATACATCATGTTTTTTTTTTCCAATAGTTGCTTTTACGATTTTTTTTCCTTTATCACTGGTTTTGAGTAACTTGATTTTGATCTGCCTTAGTGTATTTCCTTGTATCTTGTGTTTCATATGGTTGGGGCTCATTGACTTGCTTGAATCTTGGGATTTATAGTTTTAAGTTTATAGAATTTATAGTATTATTTCTTTGAATATTTTTCTCCTGTCTTCCTCCCCCACTTTAAGAAACTCCAATTACTTGTATATTAGTTCACTTGAAATTTTTCACAACATTCTGGTGTTCTTTTTACGTTTTTAAATTCTACAATGTTCACTCTCTGTTACTCCTACCCAGTGTATTTCTTTTTCCCCTAAAGACATTGTCACTTTCATGTCAAAAAGTTCACTTTGGGTATTTTTAAATTTTCTATCTCTACCCAATTTCTTAAAAATGCAGTGATAATAACTGTTCCAGCAATCTTCTCTGCCAATTCTAACATCTGTGTCAGCTCTCAGTCTGTTTTGATTGTTTGGTTATGCTCTTCATCATAGTCATGTTTTCCTGCCATTTTTGCATGCCTGGTAATCTTGGACTGATTGCCAGACTTTGCAAATTTTACCTTATTGGGTACTGGAGACATATATATAATTCCTATAAATCTTGATCTTTGTTCTGGGATGCAGTTAAGTTTCTTGGAAACAACTTGGTCCTTTTAAGACTTTTTTTTATGATTTGTTAGGTGAGTTTGGCACAGTCCTCAGTCTAGGGCTAATTATTCCTCAGGACTCTACCTAATGTTCTGTAAATTATAAGTAAATTATAGGTCTTTCCAGTATGGCTGAAAGGAATGGGTGCTTTTGCTGGCCCTGTGTGAACACTGAACACTGTTCCTTCTGATCTTTTCTAATGGTTCTTACCCTGGCCTCAGGTAGATTCGGCACACCCTTATGCTAATTACTATTCTTGAATATTTGAGGACTCTGTGTATTGCCCTTTGATCTAGCAAACCAAAGCAAAGCCACTTGCTATTAAAAGGAGGTGGTGAATGTGATTAAATCAAGAAGCTACTCATACATTAACTGTTCTCTGTAAGTATTGGAATTATAAGCATTTTTAGTTTTTTCTGGGTTCCAAGATGTCTACAAGAAATATGTACTACTTTCATTATTTAGAAAACCAAAGTATTGTTTAAATAGTTTTTTAAGCGATTGGTTTTACTTTCACATTCAAGATATAAGTCTAATTTGCACCTGGCTTTGGAAATTTGAGAGCGTCTTTATTAAGTAAGTAAGTGAAAACAGAATCAAGATTCTGTAGTACGTACGTTGGGATCAGCATCCCAGTGTCCAATTATTCTGGTGAGCAGCTGTCCTGACGTTTCCTCTCTCCCCAAGTTCTGCAGACACTCCACCTGCCCCTCTCCCCGACCCCCCCCCCCAAAAAAAACACTTTTGCCACCTCATTTTTAATAGCAGGTGGTTAACTTTTATTTGCAAACAAAAGGGAGGTACAGAATTATCTTGCTCCTGCAATGGGAATGGTGACAAACCTGTGCTCACACCTAGAGAGTCAGTGACATATTCCAGAAACAGAACCAGATGGGGGTGAGCAGGACAAAGGTACCTCGAAGCATCCTTTGAATGACAGCCCCAGCCATGGATGAGGAAGAGTCACACACTTGCTCCTTTTTTTTTCTTGGGCTGACATAGGACGATCTTATGAGTAAATGAATGGTTTGAAGACCTTTCCAGAAATAAACAGTGTTATCTGATTGAAGCAGTTCTCTTCTGAAATTTATGAGAGAACAAACTGAGTCTTGTTCACTTTCTTTTATTAGGCAAGCAACTCACATTTTATTATGAAAATGAAGTCTATAAACAAGATTACTTTATTAAGTCACCACCTCCTCAGCTTTTCTCCTCCGCAGTAAGTATTCCCTACAGATTAACAAGCCTCCCACCAGCATCATGAGCGTTTTTTTTAATGCTCTCTCTTTCTCTGAGTTTTAACTGAATGCAAAACTTCTTCTTCTTTTTTTTTTTCTTCACCTTTCAGACCTCTTGGAAAAAGCGTTTTTGTGTCCTGTCAAAGAATGGGGACAAGGGTCTTACTCTTTCCTATTACAAAGACCATCACCAACGAGGTTCCCTCGAAATTGACCGGTGTGTATCCAGAGCAAGGAAATTTATAACACATCTTATCAAGTCAGATACTAACAAGTGGCATGTAAATTTAAACTTAAATCATTGACAGAGGAACTATGGACTTTAATCCTATTATGATATTTGAAAGGGAACTAAAATTATGAACACGTAGAGTAAAAGGTAGTTGAATGTTCATTCATACTATGTTACAGATGATAAGTCTTTAATTAATAAGCATTCATTTGGAAAGGAGTTTCACTTAATGTATAGATGGGAGGGAGCAGGTGAAATTGCCATTTTATAAAGCTGAGATGGGTTTTAAAAAAAAATTTAGGTCAACTTTTTTGTCTTCTCTTTTTCAAAAAAAGTATGTACAAGAAAACAACTTGAGAAGATGATTTGGTCCCCTTCTCAGTGGTGCACGCCTGTAATCCCAGCAGCTCAGGAGGCTGAAAGAGGAGTATTGAGAGTTCAAAGCCAGCCTCAGCAAAGGAGAGGTTCTAAGCAACTCAGTGAGACCCTGTCTGTAAATAAAATACAAAATAGGGCTGGGATGTGACTCTGTGGCCAAGTGCCCCTGAGTTCAATTCTTGATTCCAAAAAACCACAAAACAAAACAAACAAACAAAAAAAAGATGATTTGTGAACTCAAGAATCCAACTGAGCTAGGTACAGTGGCATATGCCTGTAATCCCAGTGACTCTGGAGGCAGAGGCAGAAGGATCACAAGTTCAAAGCCAGCCTCAGCAACTTAGGGAGGCCCTAAGCAACTTAGTGAGACCCTGTCTCAAAATAAAACATTTAAAAAAGGAGAGAGGGATCTGGCTCAGTGGTTAAGCACCCTTGGGTTCAATCCCTAATACAAAAAAAAAAAAAAAAAAAAGGAAACAGCATCTTTTGAATTAAATTTCAGGTCAAACACAGTGTTTCAATTAATGATGAACCAGATTCAAAGTGCACATTTATTTTCTAAAAAAAAATAAAATAATAATTCAAATAATAGCAATAATAATTCAAATTACTGGACGCTCTTTAAAACATGGATCAAGCAGATCTTAAGTTTTATTCAAATATGCATTCTAATGTCAAACATTAGTCAGTTTTTTTCCTCATTTGGTATGTGCATTGGCTTAGTACTTTGTGTCTATATCTAACAGAAATGCCAGCGTCAACGTGGGTATAAATAGCCAGGAAAAGCTTCAATCTGTGCAGAGGATGTTTAAATGCCACCCGGATGAGGTGATGTCCATCAGAACCACTAACAGAGATTACTTCCTCATCAGCCACGACAGGTAGGCTGTAAGGAGATAGAGTCGTCTCCTGGGTGTTAAGCAAAAGCAAACCGAAATCCAGAACATTTTAAACCATGTTGAAATCTCCAATGCCATCCTGGCAGCCCTCGCTATACTAATTTCCAAAGGCTCTGTCACGGGGTGTCACAAACTAAGTGGCTTAGAAGAACGGAAATGTATGGTCTCACTGTTCCGGGGGCCAGGTGACGGAGATCAGAGTGTGGGCAGGACCGTGGTCCCTCTGAAGGCTCCAGGGAAGGCTCTGTCCCAGGACTCTCTCCTAACTTCCCTTGGCTTGTGGCAGTGTGACTCCAGTCTTCACATGGTATTCTCTGTGTCTAAAGGTCCCCTGTTTGTAAGGACACCAGTCACCTTGGGTTAGGAGCCACCTTTGCTCTGGTATAACCTCATCTAAACTAAATATATCCGAAACAAGCCTATTTCCAAATAGGGTCACCATCTGAGGACTGGGAGTTAGAACTGGGATGTCTGTATCCTGGACAGATTGGGGGATACGATCCAACCCATAATAGTCACGATTACCACAGATGCATCCCAAGTAAAAGGACCTAGTACAAGAATACCTGTGTACGCTACATGTATAAGGGAGGGACCGTGCTCACCCCCAAGGGGTCTTCTCTTGGAGGAGCAGCTCCTGTAGCTAGTGAAGGTGCCCACTCCAGTTTTGCACACTTTTATATGCTGGGGGGTGAGGCCATGGTGAAGGGAAGAGGCTATGCAGAGAAGGCCGGGAATATCGAAGCCTGAGGGACCTTGATGTCTTTTAGGTTGACCTAAAGATCCAGAGCTTTCTTTTAAACTGTTGTGCAAGTCAGCAGTGAAGAAGATGGGATTTATATACAGTCTTTCAGACACGACTCTTCATGAAGACCGGCCTTCCCTGAGGGGAAGCTCACTTGGATAGTTGTGCCCAAATGGCACTGTCAGGCTAGGAGGGCACTTGCTCCAGAACACCATAGAGCCGAAAGCCCCAAGCTCTGGGATTACTCCTCTTATTTTTTATTTCCCATTTCGTTTCTCTGAGCTCTCCTCACCGGGGTGGCATGAGAATTCCTTCCAGAGTGCAGATGGGGAGGAGGTGGGCCTCTGAAGCTACTGGCAAACACATCCATATTTACCAGAGAGCTGCTCCCATGGCCTATTCGAGCCACAGTAAAAGAATCCTCTGGTGAAGTGAATAGAGAGCCTGCAGAATGGGAGCAAGTTTTTATTTACCAGTAGCACATCAGACAGAGCAGTAATCCGTAGGATATATAAAGAACTCAAAAATCTTAACCCCCAAAAAACAAATGATCCAATCAATAAATGTGCCAAGGAACTGAACCGACACTTCTCAGAAGATGATATACAATCAATCAACAAATATATGAAACCATGTTCATATCTCTAACAACTAGAGAAATGCAAATCAAAACTACTCTAAGATTTCATTTCACTGCAGTCAGAATGGCAGCTATTAAGAATGCAAACAACAATAAGTGTTGGCGAGGATGTGGGGGATAAAGGTACACGCTTACATTGCTGGTGAGACTGCAAATTGGTGCAACCAATAAGGAAAGCAGTATGGAGATTCCTTGGAAAACTGGGAATGGGAACTACCCTTTGACCCAGCTATCCCACTCCTTGATTTATACCCCAAAGACTTAAAAACAGTCTACTGCAGGAACATAGCCATATTGATGTTTATAGCAGCACAATTTACTATAGCTAAATTGTGGATCCAACCTAGATGCCCTTCAGTAGATAAATGAGTAAAGAAAATGTGGTATATATATATATATATATACACACACACACACACACACACACAATGGAATATTACTCAGCATTAAAAGAAAATAAAATCATGGCATTTGCAGGTAAGTGAATGGAATTGGAAAATATCATGCTAAGTGAAGTAAGCCAATCCCCATAAAACCAAATGCTGAGTGTTTTCTCTGATATAAAGATGCTAATTTGTAATGGGGATAGAGTGGAGGAGCATGGGAGGAATAGAGGGACTTTAGATTGGGCAAAGGGGAGGGAAGGTGGGTATGGGAGTAGGAAAGACAGTGGAATGAGACTGATACCTTACCCTAAGTACACGCATGAAAACACGAATGGTGTGGCTGTACTTTGTGTTCAACCAGAGACATGAAAAATTGCGCTCTATAATATGAATTGAATTGCATTCTGCTGTCATATATAACTAATTGGAATAAATAAAATGATCCTCTGGTTCAAAATGAGTGAGTTCAGGTGCTGCTGTTGCCACATGTCAGCTCAGAGTTTGTTCCCATCAACAGGGAGAAGATTAAAGACTGGGTCTCTTTCATATCATCGTTCTGCCGTGGTGCCCGAGCAGCTCACCAGAACACCCAGGTGACTCTCCATCATTCATAAAATAACAGACATCTGAACACCACCCTCTTTTAACAGGAATAAGGGTAGCTTTTTCTTTCTCCTTGGCAACAGGCATTAATTCTAGAAATAAATAAGTGAGGAAATGTTATGTTTTATGATGAACAAAAGGAAAAAAAAATACTTTTCATGTTTTGCAAGAGAGCTAAAATACGGACAATTCAAATGTCTGTCCTGGGGGGAGAGTGAAAGGAAAGGAAGAGATTTTCGATAGTAGCTAGAACTATACTCTTTTCCATCGTTGTTATTCAGGCTACGCAAGACATTCTCTTTTGAATGACAACATCTAGGGCGGTTTCTGTAAAAATGTTTTTTCATCTATCTTGCATTTTAATATACTGCCAGTTAGTTGTAGAAGGGCTGGTAGTTTAAAGTTTTTAGTTTGCTTCAAAAGGGTCTTCGTCAGTCTTGTGTTGGTGCAGGCCTTGACAAGTGGAACTTTGCTCTCTAGGTGACTTTATTCACATATTTTCTAGATTGTTCCATGCTTAGAGCAAAAGCCAAGGTGCAGGAGAAAGCAAAGTCTATCTATAAGTAAACTTGAATGATAGAGCAGAGCGGGCAGGGTTCAGAGGGAGAGACGGCTTATAAGTTGAGGAAGCTCAGGGCCTCCTTCAAGGCCAGGCAGAGTGTCCTCGGTTTTGGGAACAGAGGAGGAGCCAGCTGGCAGGATCAGCCCTGTCTTAGTGAGAGAGCACTGGCCCGTGGCAGCCCAGCGCCCAGACAGCTGAGGAGGTGCTGAGGGAAGAGCCCACAGGAGGCTCTTTCATTCCAGATAAGAGATCAGCTGTGTCCTGATGGTATCATTCCTTTTTCCTAAGCAGGAGGGACACTCACTGGGTGATACAAGGCCGGTTTCCTACCCCAGCCCTGTCTTTGGTCCTTCCAGTGTGATGGAGGCTGTGAGCCCCACCTCGCCACGAAACAGCCTTCCACACATGGTAAAAGAATCACCTTCTCTCTTGGGACCGTCCCCTGCTCCCTCTGTCTGCGTTCCATTTACATGTCCTGGACTCACGTCTGGTATGCTGGCCTGCGGCCCCTCTGCTAAAGCCAAAGCCTGCTGGCCTGGCACCTTGCCACGCACAGGCACAAACGCCTCTGGAGAAAGTCTCCCTGTGGTTTCTGACCGTCCAGCCTGGGCTTCTCTTTTCTTACTGATTTCCTTCATTCACCTTCATGGGTCTTGCTTCTCACTATAACTGCTGTCGCCTCCTCTTTGTTTCTGGTGAAATCCATTCAAATGCTCATGAATTTCAGGGAGTGAGGTAAACGCACTGCCTCTTGAAAGCCACTCTCCATCTGCCCTCTGCTGCCTTGCCTTTCCGTCTCTACAGCTTTGGATCTCCGTCCTAAACGGGCTGCCTGGGTTTGCTGGATACTGTTTCCTCCTCTAGAGACTTTCCCTCTCTGTGGGTCTCAACCATCCCTAAAGATGCACAGCCTCCCAATTTATGGAGTTGGTAGCTCTTCAACTATTTTAAAAGCTTTTCATACCGTGTCTCACTCACCAGGCCAAACACCTCATCTCATTTATCCATTCAGTAAGTGGATACGGTCCTGTGACCCTTTTGAGCAAAGACCTCTTGCTTTCCACTCATGAGGTCTCCTTTTCCCCAGGGAAAACATTATTGATCACTTTGCCTTTTTCTGCTGTTTAGATCCAGTGATTTTCTAACCAGCTCGAGTTAAGGATACCATAGTTTGTTGGTTTCTGTCATTGTTATTTAACCTACTTTCCCATTATCCCAGATATTAAAAATACATTCTATAATATAGAATTATATAACATAATCATATAATTATATTATAATATAATAATTATGATATAATCTTGTTAATTAATATTAACTAATATAATGATATATAAGCTCTAGATTACGATTTCTTTGTCAGTTTGGCTGTAGTATTCACAGCATTGAAAACTTGGGACTTAACAGATTAAGGGGGACCCTTTTTCACCCCCAGGGGAAAGATCAAAATTTAAAATTTGAGGTATGCTTTCTGAAGAATGTGCATCATTTTCTCATCATCAGAGAGTGGAAAAATCATAAGTGGAACCATCATAAGTTGGATCATCTGTACACATGTTTTTTAAAATCACCTTTCAAGGACTTCTTAGAGAACATTCAGGGTCTTTTTGAAAACCCCGACCCTAAGGCTTTGTTCTTGCAAGAATTAAATTGAATTCATAACAATTCTCCTGCCATACAAAGCAGTCATTTTAGTGGAGTAAGTGGTATCTAGGGGGAAGAGAAGGCAATAATTAATTGGTTGAATGTCTATCACCTTGACTCCTATAATCCATACCATCACGTGATCGATGCTGCCTAAGAGCATTGCTATGGAAACAGAAAGAGGTGAGCAAAACACAAAAGACGACTAGGAACAAGAAGAGGAAGGGTGGCGTGCCCTGCCTCTGGTTAATTACCTGCTCAGATGGCACCAGCTGATAATGAAAAAGGTGGGAGTGGGGACACCATGGCAGAGCTTAGTAACTAAGAATGCCACTCCCAGGACAAAACCGCTTATTCTGATTTATGCTTCAAGTCGTCGAGAAAGCAGTCTGAACGATGTGCTTATGTATTTACAACATGGGAGGCAATGCAGACTCAAGAGACCAGGTCAAGGTGTGTGGACTTGCGTGGGTGGGAACTTGGAAGGTTCTTTGATCTTGAAATCCAACTACTCTACTGTGGCTTTTCCAGAAAGCATCTGGTTTAGCTCTGCTTCTGGAAAATAAAATCATTCATTCCTTCTGCATCTCTTTTGTGCAGTACTTAATGGAAAAAAGTTCTCCAGGATTCAAGCAGGCTCATCTTCCACGTGATTTCTTGTCAGAGACCACTCAAGACACACAAGAAGAAAGTTATTATCTTAGTCCTCGAAGTGTTCTTTTAGAGGTAACCTTTCCCGTCTGCTAATGGCTCATTTCTTAGAGAAGTGATTCCTGAGCCCCTGTCCTGCACTGTTTGTGGAGAATCAGGATAGATGATGAGCTCATGGCTCTGACCCTGGTGGAGGAGTTGCCACAGTATAAGACAGAAAGGGCCCCACGCTGCAGAGAGATGCTTATTCAGTGTCCCAGGGTGTGCCAGTCATAGGAAGAGCGGGGCCTGATTTCCAAACGGAAACCAGAGAAGGATCTATAGAGGAGGTGACATTTGACCTTACTTGATGGCTAAAATTTGGACTTGAGGAGTTGACTTGGGGAGCTTGTCAGTATTCTGGACTGAAAGAAAAGTAAGAACAAGAGGTAGGTCCTCGGGTGGTAAGTTGTGTGGTGTGTATCAATAGCCTGTTGGTACATTGGAGCCCTTCTGAGTGCTAGGCACTGTCCTGTCCCAGGCGTGGTGGCCTCAGTAATGGACTTGAGGCTGCCCCTTGCTTCCGAGCTCACAGTCTAATCGTTACCACATGATCATGTTACACAAAGAGGCACAAAGTAGCCTGGAGCATCAGAAATGGGACAGATTTTTCTCTCCATTGGAGTCAGGGAAGAAAGATTTGGGGGATGGAACGGTATTTGATATGTGTATGATGAATCGTTCAGTTAGGTGGCCATTCAGAGTGTGGGGGGACAAAACAGAAAAAAAGAGCCAGTCCATGATGGTCTCAAACACGGAGTTGACTTCATTCTCTAAGCAGCATCAGGACAGAGCTGGCTTCTAGGCTGGGAAGTAGCAGAACCTGAACTGTCTTCCAGTCACATGAACCCAGCCACTCCATCTGCGGTGGGTGCAGAGAGAAGAGAATGGGAGACAGGAAGGCCACATGACTGGGGGCATGGGGTGCATGGTTTCCCGGACCTGGCGTTTTCTACTAGAGTATGGTTATGGAAGTGCCAAGTTATACAAGCTTTTTAACAGCAGGGTCCTCAGAGCCTCTAAGAGGCAGTGATGCATTATAAATAGGTGAGTGGCACACAATGCACAACATTTCCCAAGCTTATCTGAGCGCAGAAGCCTTCTTCACCAGGAATATTTTTGTGCTAGGGGACAGTCTTTCATGATAGTTCAACCAGCCAACCAACCAGGTGTTTTTTGAGCATCAGTTGTAATTTACGCTTGTCTTTTGCTAAATACTGTAAGAGATGCAGAGTCCACAAAGCAGATTAATCTGTGCAATAGAAATTCAGAGAGCCATCCACAGAGGTGGGGTGATCAGGGCAGGCTGTGGGACTTCAGCCAGGCCTGGACACAGTGTCAATGGACAGAAGAGAACAGGGACATCCCAGGTGAAGCAAACAGCATGGACATTGGGGACTAGGAGAGCACCACTAGTCAGGGGCAGCCACAGGAAGACCAGCTTGATTGGCGGCAATGTTCCAGGGTGAGGTTAGTGGTGACCTAGGCAGGTGAGTCTTGGGGTTTGGAGCAACCATTGCTGTCAATGATGCCTAGTTCTAAGGGACTGGTGAGCATCTCCCAAGGACAGAAGTTTCTAGGACCCTCGGGGCCTCCTCAAACAACTGGGGCTGCCTGTGAGCACTGTAGCCTATGAGCAGCTCCACTTCTATGATTCTGCAGTAGGATTGTCTGGGGACAAGGGTTCATGCCATTAAGTGCGTAGTGGTAAAACGTGAAGGTAAACAGCAATTTAGTCCAATAGAACACTTGTATCAGAAAGCACGGGGCACCCAGGAGGACAGAATGGACTTTGAGTCTGCCAGGAACTTTACTGGTTCAAGCTTATGTAGGTGAGGTTGGTTGACATTCCCTAAATGAGAACCATTATCCATCCAGTGGCAGATGTACTTACTAGTTCAGGGTCCAGGTGAATGTCCAGGTTAGGAGTAGAAGGTTCCTGTCTGATTGGCAGACTTGCATCTTTACATCCATTCTTCTTGTCCTTAGTTGGATAATGTTATTGATTCCAATGATTCTGGTGAATCCATTGAACCTGGTAGTGAAGACCAGGTCCCCAAGACAATTGAATGCCATTACATGTCAATGAAATCCTGGTAAGTAAAACTGCCATTTTAAAAATTGATTCTTGTTATCCTAAAACAACTAATGTAAATTCTTTTCTTTTTTTTTTTTGAACACAATACCTTTATTTATTTACTTTTATGTGGTGCTGAGGATCAAACTCAGTGCCTCATATGTGCTAGACAATCACTCTACCACTGAGCCACAACCACAGCCCCCAAATTCATTTTTAATAATTGACAAATTGAGAGAAATGTTTTCACAGACTCCATTCAACCCAAGTAGAATCTTATTATCCAAAATGCTTGGGTCCAGAGGCATTCCAAATTTCAGATTTGGGAATATTTGCATATATATAATAAGATATTTTAAGGATAGAACTCAAGTCTAAATGCGAATTCATTTATGTTTTATGGACATCTTATACACATAGCCTGAAGATAACTTTATGCGCTATTTTTAATTTTGTGCATGAAACCAAGTTTCATGGTGCAGAGTTTTCCACTTACAACATCTGGTTGGCACTCAACATTTCATATTTTGAAGCATTTTGTATCTCAGGTTCTTGGATGTGGGATGCTCAATCTGTAATCTCAAAACCAGAAAAATGGCAATGATTTCTCCACCCACAGAAAGGCATTTGTGACAACCTCAGGACGTTTTCTGTCTGGGAAAATTGTTTCCTATTTTGCATTTATGTCTCTCACACTCGAAGTCTGTCCTCCAAGCCCTGTAAAGGATTATTTTGGTTCCATATCCATTTTTAGAAGGAAATCTTATTGGATTTGATCCTAACTTCGGCTGTGATTCTGAGGGTTGGACACGCTTCAAGACCTTGTTAGTTTTCACGTGGCTGTTGGCTACTTAAATCTGACACACACCGTGGAAAGTTGTAAATAGACATGCTAAAAAAGGGTTTGTTTTAACGTCTTCTACTCTATAGTTTTTTCAAGGATACGCTCAATGCATCTGCTGACTGCCCAGAGAAGGCCCAGACCTTTCCAGAGCCCCAGGATGGAGGCACCCAACTGCAGGAACCAGATTCAGGAAGTGATCTGTGTCTTTCACCTGCCAATCCAGGAACACAGGCCACGGATGATAAGAAGGGATCGGCCTCACTGACTGTTGTGAAATTGTCTATATTACTCAAGTAAAGCTCTCATCTTTTAAAAACTCATGGGTTCTGAGGGCAAGGCAGGCCTTCTGTTTTTATTTAGTAATTCAAGTTTTGAAGCAGTTCCTAAAAATCTCCAAGTCAGCCAAGAATCTGACCAGCTTCTCCCTGTCATTGATGTTGTGGCCAAGGACAGTGAGTGACAGAGCCAGACAGAAAACAGTCCCCTGGGCTTGGGGTGGCATCTTCAGCTACTTTTAAAAATTCTTCCTTGGCTAGTCTTTCAGGTCCTGGGACTTTGGATCCACACTGATCCGAGTAGTATGTCACCCGGCTTCTGCCATTAACATTACTAACATGGCGTGCAGGTCACGAGAGGCTTGGTTTATAGACAAGGAAGGGGATGTTCCGATTTCAAGTGATGCCAAAGGCATTTAGCAAGATGGTTGTCATTTTAAGGGTGCTTACTTATCCAACCAATTTACTGAGTTCTCTCTTTCTCCATTGTCTCCCACCCACAACCACATCCCAAGAACGGTGGGGAGGGATACTTAGGAGTAATTGTCTAACATAAATTCACATTTTTCTCCAAATGTTTTTGACAACCATTAGCTGGAAACTGTCTCAGAAACAGGAGGCCAAAAATCTGCTCAGAGAGGACAGTTCAAGAGCCAGGGTCAGTTGCCTGAAGTGACTTTTACAAATGCTTTCTCTGTCAGCAACATCCCCGATGAAAGCCACTTAGAGACGCTTGACGTGTTCCTTTCTCCGCCAGATGTCATCAACTATCTTGCTCTTGTCGAAGCAGCCGGACGGATATGGTAGGTGGGAGAATTGACTGTTGTGGACTAAAAAGGAGATTCCAAGACAGGAAGGGAACAGTCATTTTGACAAAACTGACCGGGGACTTGGGCTGTCATGTTGTCACAAAGAAGACTCAAGGAATCCTTGGCCAGGCTGTGGACTTCTCTTAAGGCGGAGCTTGCTCATTCGGGAATTTGCTGATTTGTTCTTTAGATGTGCGTTGTGTAACCTCGAGGGCTCACTGCCCACCAACACTTACTGAGCGTCCTCTGTTTACTTGAAACTGTGGGGTTATAAAAATCTAAAACAAAACAATAGAAAGGCAGCACCACAGGGCCCCACAGCCTGGTGAGAAAGACAGCTGCCCAGACAAGCAAGCGCAAAATGCATTTTATTTAAAAGTGTAATGAAGAAGGTGCTCTCACAACGCAGAATCCCAGGGGCAGGGAGATTAACTATAGAAAAAGAAGCAGAAGGTCAGAGTCCACAGGGCTTTGCAAGGGTGAAATGATTTGCACAGGTTTTGGAGGAAGGGATAGACTCTGACAGTAGTGACCGCGCAGAAGTTACTCGAAACAGAAAAAGGAGCTGGTCAGCTTTAGATGAGGCCCAGCACAGCTTGAGTGAGGAGTCCCTGCAGGCCCAGCCCCACCCTCCCTTCCCTGAGAACTGTGTCACGTGCTAGTATTGAGTCCTGTATTTCTACTGCAGCGTGGCCCGGTGGGAAGGCCCCCCACAGCTGGGATGCGTATTTTGCCATGGAGATCATGTCTTGGCTGTGAATGACCTGAAACCCCAAAGCCTGGAGGAGGTCTCCTTGTTCCTTACCCGGTCCATACAGAAAGAGGTGAGTCCTACTAACCGACCCTGGCCAGGGCAAGTCAGTGGCAGGAGGAACAAGATCAAGGTCTTCACTGGAGTCTGAAAAGTACTCGGGATACAAATGAAACTCTGCCTTTCACATAAGGTAGTATTTGCAAGATACTGGGCTAGGAGACAGAGTACCTGGGTTTGTGACCTCAGACATAGCATAGTGTGGGAAAAAGAGTTTGCATAGAATCAGGCTGGCTCATGGATTGCAAAGGAGCTACTTGAAGAAGTCTGTGCTTCCATTTTCTCTTCTGTGAAATCAGGGATACTGATCCTACCCGATGTTGGAGAATTAAATGAAATAATATGTGATCATGTGCTTAAAATAGTGACTGACACATACTAGGTGTTCAGTGTAGGTACTATTCTTTTTGCTTCTTTTATTGGCCATGGATAGGCTCAGTCTTGACATCATCACACTGTCCTCATATAGTTATTATGAGAATTAGACATAATATGTAGGTGTGCAGAGTACGTGTGGTTTTAAAAGGTCAGCCTGTTTTTAAATGGTCTCTCCTATTAGTGTAGTTTTCATATGGCTAATTCTATCCTGGGTCCAATTTTATCTCTAACTTTTAGCCCTGTGACCTTGGGAAAGTCACTTCCTTCTCTGGGCTTTAGTTTCCTTTCTCTAAAGCGAGAGGGTCCATTTTCAAATTCTGCTTCTTGAACTTCTAGGGTGGTAGTTGGGAGAGAGAAGAGGAGGGGGACAGTGTGCAGGGGCTTCTGTTAGAGAAGTCCGTGGTTCTCATTTATGTTTTATTAAACAGACAAGTCCCCCAAATATTGGCCTGTCTTAGCTTCCCTTGAAAACACAGTTTCATGACTTGAAATTTCTAAAAGCCATGCTACTAGATAACCTTTCTTCCAACTCTGAGGGTTTATGACTATGCATCATATGTATATTAGGGATATTTCTTCTCTCTTCTGCATCCCACAGTAACCCTGCTGGCTCAACAAATTGTCCTATCCCGGTTATCTAAATGGGTAAACCCAGTAAGTATGAGAAAGTTGGCTAAGATACCTTCCGAGTTAATGGCAGAGCAAGGACACATGTGTTCATTCATTCATTTATCCCTTATTTATTGAACATCTGCTTTATGCTGGATACTGTGTCCTGTTGTAGGACTGCAAAAAAAAAAAAAATGGCCTTACCTTGAGCTTAAGGAGCTCATAGATTAGTGGATTGAAAAAAGCATATCAGGGGCTATTTAGCATGTCCCTGAGACATGAATAGGGAGGACAGGAGAAGAATGGAGTAAGTTTATGGAGGAAGACCAGGAGGGTGTCTCAGAGGAGGTGAAGTTTGGCTTAGGTATTGAAGACTGGATAAGAGTTCATATGGTGTGTGAACTGGTAACTAATGCATTAAGTCTGCCAAAGAGCCACACTGGGGCCAAGTAGCCAAGATAACCTTCTGTGCTGTTCTGGAAGTTTCCAACCCAGACACGAGCTCAGATGCCAAGAAAAGGGTTTCTGACTGGGAGCAGATCCAGGAACCCCACCTGGCTGTCTCTGCCTCGCTTTCATCACGAATGTCCTTCCGGACTGGAGAGTCACCTGCGTGGGCAGGAACACCTGCATTTATTTCCCTTAGGCTCACCTCATGTTCCCCTTTCTGTCTGCAACTCCTAGGTGCTATTGACAACTACGGGGCACCCACCAACACGATTATCTGGAAGATTAGGAAGTGGCCCTCCTTCTCCACTATTCCTGACTTCTTTCTTTTATGTAAAAATGTGTATACAATTCTCTTAAAATTCAAATATCTGGTCCCTGGAAGGAAACAGAATGTTGGAAAGAAAGATGTGGAGCCAGAGAAGGAACAGTGGCCCCTGATATTGTAAAGGATCTGAGCCCATCAGATCTACCTTTCTTGTTAGGCTACAGTTGATTGGTTGGGGTAGGGACTGTGATGGGGAGAGGGTGTAAGATCTTTCTTTCTTTCCCAGAGGCATTTAACCTCTGAGCCATATCCCTAGCCCTTTTTATTTTTATTTTCTGAGACAGGGTCTCACTAGGTTGCTTAGGGCCTTGGTAAGTTGCCAAAGCTGGTTTTGAACTTGCAGCCCTCCTGCCTCGGCCTCCCAAGCTGCTGGGATTCCAAGCGGGTGCCACCACACCCAGCTGAGAATGTAAGATTTTTAAAGGTGGTGAAATGAGAGTTTCGAGGGGGAGGGCCTGCTGAGTTGAAGGAGACACTCATCAAACGTCAATTTCCTCCCAGTTTTGTCTGAGGCTGGTCCTGTCTGATGGTCTTATTTTGATTCGCTGGTTTCAAGAGGTCCTTTTAATTCTTGGTGCATCTGGACCCTTCTGGGCATCCTTGAAGCTCTTTGGAATCTTCCCTAGAGGCTCAGGCCAGTGACTTCCAGAAAATGAAAACCATCGTCATCCCTGGCTTCCTCTGGCCATCTTGTTCATCTCAGGATTTTCTTCCTAAGAGCTTCAAAGGGTGTGAAGGAGGACCAAGTGAGGACCAACTAAGGATGCTCTTCAGTCATTTAATTTTCTTCTTCCTCATATTTTAGAAAGTAAAGCTGTCCATCGGGCGGATCCCAAATTCAGAGAAATTTCATGCTGAGGCCTGTACCTGCCTCTTAAAACACCAAGGAGTTGCACTGATCCAACAGGAGAAGTCTGGACTGCAGAGGGCACCCAAGAGGAGCCCAGCCATCAAAAAGGGCCAGCAGAAAGGGACTGGGGAGTAGCCAGCCACCACCTCACTGCAGCAGAGGATAGAGCCCTGGACTGTGCCAGGCGCGGCCACTCAGGCCGGTGATATGAGACACGCTAGCACACCTCTCTCAACTGCTGCACCTGCACCTTACCTGGGGGATAACTGTCCCTGCTCTGACTGTGGCCTCAGGGGTGTTGAGAGGGTCAAGTGGGATAATGACTAGGGAACACAGTGAAAATGGAAGGCCTTGTTATCTGAGACTCTGTCCCAAATACTGCAAACACAGACTGGGTAAGTCCCTCATCTTATTAGTACACACTGTGTTCTGTGAGGTCGTTGTCACACAATTGCTTTTTTGTTCAGGAACATCCATTTGGAACTACTCATTCCAGGAAGGCAAGATTCCCCGGAGACATGCGAGACCCTTGCAGCCTTCCCAAACACCTCCTGTGACTCATCAGCCCCAGAGTCCAGAAAGTGGCCCGGGTGGCCACTTGGATCCAATGCATCTCTTGTTTGCTTAAAGACCCAGAAATGATTTTAGAAGTCAAAGCAGTTTCAGGTTCCATCCAAGAGTGCCCTACTTGCTATGCAAGTAAAAGGAGAACTACTTAGCGCTTCTAATTTGAAAGCTCTTAGCTAATTGGTGCAGTAACAAATTGATCCTGGGAGGCCCAAAGAATCAAATGCTTTTTCATAAACAAGCCGAGGGCGAAAGCTGAAGCACTAATCAAATCGGGGAACATTAGAGCAAAAGGGGCTTCAGAAAGTGAATCTTACCAGGCTGTCATTGCACAGGGAAGAAATGGAGGCCCCACACTGTGGGTCATGTGCCTTCTCCACAGCTCTGAGGCTCACAGCTGCTTAGTGGCAAAACCAGCAATCTACAACCAGCTCTGGAAAACAAATATCCTAACTTACACCTTTGATTTGGATAAGATTAGAAAAGACCTTCAGTGCTTAGAAGACACATTCAAATGTTTCACTTTCTAATGTCCTGATTGTCTAGAAAGTAAAAATGTTCTCATTTACATGGCCTATTTGACAACTGCCTCTACTCCTAAAAAGGTATCCTATAGAAATGCACACACAAAGATATCAGTAAAAACCAGAAAGTTTATTGTCACATTGTAATATTGCTTGTGGTAATAAAAAAATCATTTGGAAATTGCTTAGTTATGATTTCATATAACTGAACATAGAAGATGTTTAAAAGTTCAGCATAGACAATTATGAAAAATATGCACAAACTATTAAGAATCAAAGAAGCAAGTTGTAGCCAGGTGTGGTGGTGCACACTGGTAATCACCGTGATTCAGGAGGCTGAGGAAGGAGGGTGGCAAGTTCAAGGCCAGCCTCAGCAACTTAATGAGGCCCTAAGCAACATAGCAAGGCCCTGTCTCAAAATGAAAATTTAAAAAGGCTGGGGATGTAGCTCAGTGCCAGAGCATTTGCCTTGCATATGTGAGGCCCCCAAGTGCAATCCTCAAACTGAGGGCGGGGTTGGGGGATAAGGCAAGTTGCAGTTTGATAGATAAAACATCCCAATTTAGTAGTAATGTTGTGTCTGTGTAGCTCTGGATCTAAAAACTCCCCAGCCCTCTTTAGGAGAGGGCCACCTCCCTCCCTCCTGGAGAGGTTGTGGGGTTGACATTTAGGCAGGTGGCCTCCTTGTGAACACCCTCTCAGGTGCTGTGCTGCTGTCTCTCAGCCCTGCTTTTTGGTTTTGTTTTTTATGTTTACTATAATGCCCTTTAGATTGACAGTAAGAATTACTTCTGAGAAACACGATCGGGTAGATCCTTGGGCAAGAGACATATCTATGTTTGAATTTGTTTGTTTTCTCTTTTCCATAGCATATATTGCTTTGGTAATAAAAAATATATATATATTAGTATGAGAAATAAACGTGTGTGTGCGTGTGTGTGTGTGTATGTCTTAAACCTTCTTAAGTGAGAAACCAAGCCACCTCAGTACAGGAAATAAAAACCTTCAAGGTAAAACCACCTGGCAACCAACCGTGTGAAGCCAAAGTTCCTCCCCCTGGTTTGCTCACGAGGCCAGCCTGCAATTCCTGGAAAAGCCTCAGAGGGAGAGGGACAAATGTCAGCCCAAGTCCTTCCACCTCCTTACTGAGGCAAAGAGGAGCCAGAGGACTGAGCGGCTGATCATCTGTCCGGCACAGAGATGTGCGGGACAACACACCACAGCCCCTGGCCCTTCCCAGTGTGCCACAGGGAAGACAGCCAGCCTGCCCCTGCCCGCATCCGATCCCCAAATTCCTTCCCCCATCCTCACAGCAGGGTCAGCTGGGTACTTGTTAGGTGCACAGGCTCCTGGGGCTTCTCCCACACAAGGGGCGTGTTCTCAAAAGGAAATCTCAGGGTGGATTCCAAGGCCCCCAACCCAAGGATTCCGACAGGGTGGATCTTGTGTGGGGTCCTGGAATCTGCATTATCATATTCCCAGGGGAGTTGTCTGCTGGTCCACCAAGAATCTTTCCAGGGGTCCGTGTGGAGGCTTGTGTGTCCCCAGTGAAGCTGCAGAACATGGAGTGTGAACACGGGCCTCCTCTAGGGGGAAGGCCGAGCTGTCGACAGCTCTGAAAGGCAAATGAGCCCACCTCCTCCAAGGAAGCTGGATCCTGAGGCCGCAGCCTGGCTCTCCGTCCCGCTCTTGGCCACCAGCTGAGTGGCACCAGGCCCTCTGGTCTGGGTGCCGCCACGTGCTTTTCGGCAGTTGAGGCGGAGAAGCTCTGTCACTTCTGCCTGCCGTTCCTCAGCATCGGTTCCTGGTTGTCCTCTGTGCCTCCCCTTTCCCAGAGCCGGAGCAGCCACACATCCCCGACATACAGGTTCTTTCTCCTCACGATGCCAGTGGGCCCCAAAAATGGTCCTGACAAAACGGGTCCAAAAATCTGGGCATCGGGGCCTTTGTCCCTAAGCATGACTTTTGGGGTTCTTTTCTGTGACATGGCAAAGAGCTCTGCAAGATGAGCTGCTGAGAGATGGGGAGGTCTCTGAAAACAGTCTTGGTCCTTATGGTGTAGACTTTTTCCAGTGCTAAGAGGCCTTCCTCGCCCTTTGCCTGTCCACAGTCACAAGCACAGCCAGCCTCGGGGAAAACGTCATCGGTGACCTTTATCCTTCCAGAGCTGCCCTTGACGTTCATCGCAACCCCGTTCCAGGTGGGCATGGGAGACTGGCCCAGCTGTGCCTGTGAGGGGTGGCCCTCTTCCATGTCTACTCCATATGGACCATAGCCATGCTTGCCCATCGCATCTTTGCCCTGCATCTGGTGTGGCTCGGTTTGGCTGGGGGAAAGCCAGAGCACAGAAATGTGAAGAGACTCCCCCCAGGCTTGCCCAGCTCCATGCCAGGCCTGTGGCTCCTGGGCTAATATCTTTTCTGCTTTTGCACAACTTTCCTGCGAGGCATTTGGAGAAGTTGCTCCTCCAGCCTGCTCCTGGTTCCTGAAGGGCACCTCCTGCCTCTAGAACAGGCCTCGGAGGGAGACTGTGTTTCTGCTTTGTTCTCTCTACTGAGGATGCAAACCCTCCACAGTGAAATGCAGAACACAGCTGGTAAGGTAGGAACTGAATGCACAGGGCCAGGGACATATGTCCTTAAGTGAGGACAGTGAGCGCGGTTATATGTATGGATGTGAATGTGTGTGTGCATATAATGAGGGGCACGAGGAGACAGATGGGAGTCATAGGAATTCTTTAATAAACTGAGAAGCTGACACACCCAAGGCTCCTCCCCTCACAGCTAGTTCCAAGTGACTCTCTCTTGGGACAATGACAAGAATTTAAAGTATCATAAACAGGCCCAAAGGAAGAGGATTTTTTCAGATTCAGCTGGATTAAATCAGGGTTCTTTTGTGAAACTGGACTTGTAGATATGGAAGAAATGTGTTTTATTGAGAAAGCCTTTCAAAATGTCTGAGTTAGAGAAATATTTGTGTATAGATCAACAATGTGGTAAGATCTTGGGGCCATTGTCCTTATCAACTCTGGCTAGGTGGCTCTGGAAAACCAGGTGCTTAAGAAAACTTCACACTCACATCAGAGAACTCTGGAGCTGAGCTGCCCCAGCATGGTAGCCACACGTAGCTATTTCACTTGAAACCAGTTAAATGAAATTTGAAATTCCATTTCTCAGAGGCACAGGCTACATTTTGAAGTGTTCAATAGTCTTGTGTGATAATTGACTACTGCATCGAGTAGCACAGATATAGACTATTTCTGTCAACATGGAAAGTTTTAGTAAGCACCAAGAGGAGGAAAAACTCACCCCTGTCTATGCACACATGTGTATACTTATGCGTCTATTCCCAGCACATAAGGACAGTGCTCAGCTCATAGCAAATGCTCAATAAATACTTGTTAAAAGAAGAAATTACTGCATTTTTATGTTAAATACTAACTCATAAATATTATTCTATATTGATAGTGTTTTCAAATAAAATATTCACATTAATGACTCTAGTAACATTTCTTTTTCACCTTTCTTTCTTTCTTTTGGCCTGGGATCAGATATAATTAACTTGAAAAGCAAGCTACGGACCTTTTTAATGCAAGCTGTTTTCTCAACAGTTAAAAAGTTTTTGTATTATAGCCAATAGACCTGGGAACTGTTATGAGGACACAAGAGAAATGCAAGATCTAACACTCTCTAACAAACTGCTGACCACACAGTGAGGAAGAGAAAATGAGCATACCATGATCCCTTATTCCCCTGATGTCACTTGAGAAGGCACTATTCTGGGGTCTAGTCTTTAAATTATCATAGGCTTTCCAAAATGTAACCCTTTCCAGCATCCTTCAGGTCTCTCTACTCAGGGACACACTCATGGGCATGCTAAGTGTACACCACTCTACGTACAAGATGAACATCCCTCATGCAAAATGCTTGGGACCAGAAGTGTTTCAGACATTGGATTTCGGGATATGTGCACATGCAGAATGAGACACCTGGGGAATGGGATCCAATTTCTAACCAAGGAGTTCAATTATGTTGCATATGCACCTTATACATATTGCCTGAAGACAAATTTATACATTTTTGATAATTTGGTGCATGAACAAAGTTTCAAGGTGAGGAATTTTCTACTTGTGACAGCACGTCAATATTCAAACTGTTTCATATTTTGGAGGATTTTGGATTTCGGATTTTCAATCTGTGTTTCCTAAGGGTACAAAGATTTAGAGGACATTTTCCCCTTTCCCCAATGAACTTGGGTTGCTTTTGTTGATGCTATGGGCTGGGAAAGCAGATACTGTGGTTGTTATAGCCATGTGCACACTTAGAGTCAGTAAGCCAGGAGTGTGGGTGTAAGAGGTTTAGGAGAAAGGACACCAGTTTTTATCCAGAGTTTCTGGGACATGGATTTGGGGCTCAGCTGCCTGGTGGGGTGGTGGTGGTGGTGATGGTGGTGGAGGCCAGAGAACTCCTTATCTCCTTTAGTGACCACCATCAGCACTTTTTGAGCATCTGTGGGTATAGAGCACTATGCCAAACACTGGCAATATTAATAAGA